GCGCGCCTGTGTGAGTGCGCATGTATGTACTACAGTGCCACGAGGTGCAGAGAGGTATGCCGAGGTATGTGCGCGCCTGTGTGAGTGCGCATGTATGTACTACAGTGCCACGAGGTGCAGAGAGGTATGCCGAGGTATGCTGAGGTATGTGTGCACCTGTGTGAGTGCGCATGTATGTACTACAGTGCCACAAGGTGCAGAGAGGTATGCCGAGGTATGTGTGCACCTGTGTGAGCGCGCATGTATGTACTACAGTGCCACGAGGTGCAGAGAGGTATGCTGAGGTATGCTGAGCGGTATAATTTAACCCTTAGGGCTATGCAACATAATGACACTCAAAAGCAACCAATGGAACAAGACTTTCATCCATTTTGTGGCTTTACCTGCTGGATTCTCTGTTTGGGGCTCAGCATAATTGTGACCAAATGTTTGATACATTTCCCTCAACACAAAGGCACAACATTCTGGCATTTTAAAGGAGCCAGAGGATTTTAATTCAAGGAGCTAAAAAGCAAAAGACAGTCCCTAATGGCATATGTGGCCATTGTTCCCACAGTGAAAGGTGGCAGGACCTTTTTTTTGGGCATTGGGTTTTTTGTCCCTAGCCCCAGCATCCCACCTATTTCCCCATCTTTCCTGTGTTACTTTTCACAGTAAAAAAAAAAAAAGTTAAAATTCTGTACAGCACCACGGCTGTGTTTTCATAGAAGGTGTTAGGTCATTTACAGTCTTGCCTAGACCTGATTGTCACTTCTACAGCCTCAGTTTCTCATCTGTATCTTTTCTCAAGGTGATGAGGAGTGGAGTGGGGAGGAGTGTCCTAGGCTAGGCCATTCCTCCACTGGGTGAAAACTAAGGGAAGAGGAGAAAGGAAAACCAGAACACTTTTCCCATCGTCCTGTCTTCCTTACTTGGGGTTCGGTCTTACCATCTTTTCATATGCCTACATCTCAAATCCCATAGTGAGTTGCCAAACTTTAAATGCATCAACCAGTTTTCTGCATCTGGAATCAGTCTAACAGTGGCTGTACTTTGAATAAGTCATGTTTGCATGTAAAATATATACATATATACATATATACACACACACAAGTATGTGCATGGAAAATGTTTATCTTCGTACTTTTTTAATACGATGTATTCTTCAGTTGTTCATTTTTAAATATATTTGATATAAATTGAGGGTTTGTTGCAAAACTTTATATTTAAGAACAGTGTTAAAAAAAAAGATAAGTCCCAATCATGCAACACAACTGGGGCTTAAAAAAAAAGTTATGTGATTGACTAGTTTGCTGCCTGAGTCATATTTATCAGCCAAACTTTGGATTCTGCTGTTGTTTCTACAATGACATTTTGTATGAAGCAAAGTCCTTGAATTAAAATAAAAACTTAGCAAAAACTAAACCAAACCAATATGCTGCGCCAGATGATGTGTGCAGTGGGGTCTGTAGGTGGGAGCTCACCAATGTGCTGAGGACACTTCTAATTTGAAATAACTCCTTGTTGGATTTTACCTGTGCAACCCAGGTGTGTGAAGATAATGCTTTTAAAAAGATGAAAACTAGCTTCTTTGAGATGCAGATCCAGTTACATTCTGTTTTATTGCTGAATTGTAGAGGGAAAACCCAAGGGTCTCACCTTAACTCATTCTGTTGATGTGCTAATCCTCAGATCATCTGAGAGCTTGGGTGGCCCAGGTGGGTGACAGAGCTGTTCACATAAGGAACCTGGGCTGGATACTACCAGTGCCTGCTCTTTCACAAGTTCACAATCTGCCCTATGGGAATTGATACCCTCAAATTACCTTCAAGTGGAAAACTCATTTGGGCCTGGGTATAACGGCAGTCCCTTCCAGGTCTGTGGTCTGCGCAGGGATACTTAGAGATATCACTTTTGATAGAAATGGCAATGAGATAGAAAGGTTAGCTTAACAGAATCTTAGAGTCAGAAGAAACCCTAGAGACCATCTAGTCCAACCCATCATTTTACAGGTAAGGGAACTGAGGCCTAGAGCAGGGAAGAAACTTGCCTAGATATACCTAGATGATTAATTAGTAGAGGCAGCACTAGAATTCCTATCTCCTGATTACTTGGTCCAAAGCTGCAATTTAATATATCCTTCCCACTGGCCTTTCTTACTGCTTCAGTGTTTCTGACGCCAGACTAGAGGACTGAACTACTCCCAAATGCTGCATAAACAGAACTCACCTTAACATGCAGGCATCTCGGATTCCCTGAGGTTCATACAAATTCTGAGCACTACCCATATGTCCAACCTATGGGGGGAATACATCTTCCTTGAGATTCTACAGAGATGGGGGCAGGGGCAGGAGCAGGTGAGGACAGAGCACACTAGAAAATTATTACAGCAACCAGGAGTGCTTAAAGCTGGAAGACTTTCCCAGTTTTTCAACACTTCATAAAACAAGTCACCAAAAAATATTGTTACGTCCAATGAATGGCAGAGAAAAAGAGGCCAGGCCAGGAGAGGGCACCAGTTCCCATTACCATTGCCCATCACATCTAAGAGAGAGACCCAAGGCCCTGCCCTCTCCATTCCTTTATCTTCACTTTGGCTCACTGTGTCAGAATTCCAGAAGATTAAAACTGGAAATGGGGCTGGGATGGGGGAGGTGGATGGTTGGGGCGGGGGGGGGGGGGTCTGGTACACAGGATTAGGTTCATCACTGTTATTATAACATTACATATGAATAGGACGTGTAAAATGTCCAAAGACTTTTCACATTTCATTATCTCACTGAGTCCCCTAGTGCTTTTCTCCTTCTCCAATTCTAATATTTGATCATCTTCATTCATTAAGAGTAAAATAGTGTGGTTATTTTTTAATAGATCAACTACTCAACTCAATAGCTTCAGATGCCTGCAGCCACCAGATCAACCATTTACCACTACAGCTTTAGGCTCTACTAGCTGTCAGGCAGCATGACTGGTGATCCATATCCAGAGTGACAGATTCCAGCCCTGTTACCTCCATTTACCAGGCTTAGCAAGGTCTTTGCAGCTGAAACCCTTGCCCCTAGTGTGGAATTTGAGGAAAGATGGAAGCTTTTGTCTGCAGAATTTATCCAATGTTTAGGCCTCTGCAACCACAGCTTCTACCCAGGATACTTTGCTAGATCAGCCCCTTCTGCCACGACCTCCATTTAATCAAGATAAGTAAATTAAAGCAAAATTTTGATTCTAAAAAGGTCTGATAATATCAAAAAACCCAAGTGACAAAATTTCCCTAGAAATGCAAGCTGAAACTTCACTGGATATGATGCACAAAATGCCAAAAAACAAAATAAACTGGTTAATAAATACATTAAGGAAATTTTTGGAATACTTATATTTAAATATTAGTAATACCGGAATTTTTTGAAAGGACAGCAAAAGATAAAAGATCAATGTATGAAAATGCGAAATAACACTAAAGATCGGTAATAGCAGCAAACAAAAGAAAAAGTGAATACTCTAACAGATCTGCCATGTCAATATGGGTTTTCCTTTAATTGATGCAGGTTGCATCCATTTGCATCTTCTCATTCTGTGTATTTATTGTACTTCATGTTCTTCCATTTGTCCTCCACAGAGGATCCTGCCAGCATGCTGGAGGCCTTCTTCTACATTTCACGGGTACCAGGCAAGCACTCAAGCTGCTACCTGTTTTCATTCTTGCCACATTTCAATAAAGTAAAAACGCGTCTTGCCAAGACTATGGCCACTCCACTGAGCTAGTACATCAGTGATTTTATCTGCTACAGGTGTTGCAAATAGGCAACAGCTGGATCCAGGATTGACTCAGAAGGAAGGGAGCCAGCTGGATTCCATTTGATAAATTATACAGTATTTTCTGTCATACCAAGCACAAAACCCAATATTGTAAACATAAATGTTCTACTGTGTGAATGTGGATTTTGACACATTACCATCTCTGATCAAAATTGCATGTGACCCAAAGGGGACTGGAGAGACGCATGGGGGGCATAAGTAGGCTGCGATATATTTCAAAGGATGACTTCTATGCAAGAAGTAGCATAAGGGATATTATTGAGGAAATATATCCAAAAGAGGTGAACCTAGTCATGTAGTGAGATTGAAGGATTGCAATGGAACAGGCTGAGGGCTGCACTGGTACCTTCTTACTATAGAAAGATCTAGAGGAAGTCCTCCGGCAGGTACAGTAAATGCTTTATGAAAGATCTATAGGCAAAAATAAAGAATCATATAGGATGAGAAAGCATAGATGGATGGAATACATCAGTGAGACCACAGATCTGCTGTGGATATTGAATAGTGAGGGATAAACATTTTTTTAAATTTTATTTTTGCTTTTTAGTGAGCGAATTGGGGTTAAGTGACTTGCCCAAGGTCACACAGCTAGTAAGTGTCAAGTGTCTGAGGTCAGATTTGAACTCAGGTCCTCCTGACTCCAAGGCCCGAGCTCTATCCTCTGTGCCACCTAGCTGCCCTGGGATAAACATTTTGGCCACTATGGAAACTATCTGCTTCCTGATTGGGTAGGACCATGCATTCTGCGTAGGATGGTCTTTATCCCAATTCCCACTAGGATGTTACTTATGTTCTTTCCAGAAATAAGAAACCTATGTACACCAGATTCAAAGCTTTGCTGCTTATGTTCTCTGCGTAAGCAGCTCTTAATGGCAGTGCTTTCTGTGAACACACTCAGCTACCAATTGGGACTGGTAGATGCAGAGCTTTCTTTCGGCCTTGGTGACTGAAATCATCATGGAGGGCATTGATTGCATCAGTAATTTTGGGTAGCCTGAATCCCCTTCATATATTTCAAGTACTTCTCTTACAATCCAATAGAGTACTCCATTACTGAGCTCTAATCCCAAGAGTAGTTTGCCTTTGGGTGAATGAGGACTAATTCTTTCAGGGTCAAATTCAGGTCATTCTGGCCAGCAGTTCTACTAGTAGGCCCTTATCTTATATCTGAGGTTCTCATCAATCTTTCCTGTTTCAGGAATGAAGAATTAGCTCAGGCCTATGTTATTTATTCCCACCTAAAGCATAATCTCTGGAGGAAGTTCCAGGCTCTCCTGTATTTTCTTGTATCAATGTCCCATCTTTCTTTGAGTCACAGATCCTTTATCCCCATTGTGGAAATCACCATGGTCTCCTATGCAAGGGACCTATGAGATGAGTTTTTGGCATCCATGTTGTTTTTTCCCATAATGTACTCTGAATTCATAGTTGGTCAGGATAGCTATCCATCTCCACCGAGAAGTGTCTTCCTTGATACCTGTCAGAATATAGTTAAGAAGGTTGTTGTTTGTCTATAACTGAAACTACTAAATATAGTTCTGTTACTTTTAAGTGATAGCTCACTCAAAAACTCCAATTTGAGGATGGAATTATGGGTATCACTGTCCACGAATCCCCACCTGGGATATGCAGTGACATCCTCTGCTAAGACTTCTAGCCTGGCACCAGTACATCACACAAAAGGCCTACTTTGATCAGCAAAAGCAGACAGTGGAGCATGGAAAAAGGCAGCTGATTATGGTCTTTCACTTTTCTTCTTCAGGAAAGAAGGACCATGTTACAATCCTGTAAGAATAGGGTCAAGAGTGCTAAACTTCAGAATGAGTGTTGCTAAAAATGACAGAAAGTGTTTTGGTTCTTTTTTTAGTTATACTGGAGAAAACTAAAAAGGACAGAACTGCTACACAGGGTAAACTAGTTGTTAAAAGACCATGTGAAAAAGAAAGAACCACCTAACTCTTAGCTTGCTTTTATCTTCCAAGCAGAATAACACTTGGACTGGAAAGAACAAGAAAGACTAATAAAGAGTTGAAATCTAAAAGAAGTAGGGAGATATAACAGACCACCTAACCGCCCTTAATGTGAGATACCAGGCCTAGATGAACTCCATACCAGGGTACTGAAAGAACTGGTGGATATGATTCTGTAGTCATTGGCTCTGGCCACCAGGAACAGGTGAATGCTCTTTGAAAATCATAGAAAATAGAAGAGCAGGACTAGGGGTCAACCATGCTGAATTTCAGAAAAAGGGAAGAGAGAAGAATCTACAGGGTGGTATGTTGACTTCTTTGCCTAGAAGAGTTCTAGACTAGATTCTTTTTCATTTAAAAAATGCATTAGTGGTGAGTTTTTATCCTTACATCACAATCACTTCTGGAAGGAAGACCTGCTCCCTTCACATTGTACCCTACCTTGTAACAAAGAAAAGCAGATTAAGGAAAAGAAAAACAAAAACAAACAAAAAAATCCCTGCCAGAGACGGTGACCATTTGTGGCAAGTTGGACAACATTCTTCCCTTAAATAACTATGTTTCATTATCAGTTCTTTAGGACCAGTATTTGTCTTCCTACTAAAGATCTATTTGCTTTTAGTAATCTTTTTTTATATACAATGTTATGGTCATTGTGTATATTTTTCTTTTGATTCTGCTTATTTCATCCTGCATCAAGAACACATTGTTCTAAATGAGATCGTTAGTAAACAACATGCTGAAAAAGAAGCTGTCACCCCAACGGATTCACAGTGCTTTACTTTTATCACTTAATAAACGTTTAATTGTTGACCACACCTGGGGGTAGTACCCTCTAAAAGCACTACGTCATTAAGTCCCGCTCTCTGGGTCTCAATTTTCTCATCTGTATAATGAAGGGTTTATAGTAGCTATCGCCAGTCTCCTCCAGCTCTGATGCAGGGACCCTTTCTGCCCCGGACGCCGGATCCCGTTAACGCCCCACGCGGTTACCATGGTGATGGACTTCTTCATCCCTCCCCCTTCCCCTTCCGCCCGCTCACGTCGGGATGATCCAATAAGAGAGAAATCTCTGCTTTATCACTACCCGAAGCTGGCCTGGATTGTATCGTAAGCCAGGTTTAGCTCTGGTTTATGGACAGCCCGGAGTGTGGGAAGCCAGAGCCGCAAAAGAGGCCGAACCCCCGGAAAGGAAAATCCTCGCCAACCATTCTCTCCTGTGGGCCTCGGGGACACGGAGCCTCAAAGACTTCTGGGAGCTGGAGTCGCGGAAAGGAAGCCACTCCTAGACTCCTTCTATCACGTATCGGCTGACCGCCAGACTACAACTCCCAGAGGTCTACGCGACGCAGTTCCGCCTCTGACTGTTCTATAAGCACCACTCCCCCCTCCTCCCCACCCCCAAGTCTGTGGACTGACAGAAAAGAGCTGGGCCCGTCCTCCCTACGCGTTTAATGTCTCTGTGTTGGTGGACGGGGGGGTTTGGGGAGATCGACCTTTCCACTTTGGGGATCCCCTGAGGCCGAGGTGCATGTTTCTGCGTGCGTGTGTGATAGAGATTTACAGCTAGAAGCGACCTTAGCATCTTAGTCCAGCCCTTAAAGATAGGGAAACTGAGGCCTGGAGAGGTTAAGTGACTTGCACAGGTTCACCCAACTAATAAGCAGAGCTTGGACCTGAATCTCCAGGACCGCTGTCCTTAAATCCAATCCGGGTCTCCGTGTGAACCTGAGCCACTTCCAGGAGCCCTGTGTGTGCCCCTTGCCAGTTGGGATGCCTGGTACTCATCATGTGGCTCGCCGTCTTTACGTCCCTCGCCTGGGGCTCACTGGTCAGGTCGTGTGACTAAGGCTGCCAGTCTCCAGCTCCTTGCCGAGTCTGCCCACACTAGCCCGGGGTTAGAGTTCACAGGAGCCTGGCCTGAGAGGGCCGAATCAAAGCCAATGTCCCCAGCTGAAGGGACCTTGTTCCTGAGTTCCCAGGTCTCAGCAACACAGGAATAAGCCAGCCAGGAGGGATAACCGTGGAGGAAGAGAGTGCATGTGAAGAGAGGTGAGAACAAAAAAGCACGGTGGGGTGGGAGGAGTAGCATCTCCCAGGACGGGAGAGACACCTGCACTTCAGGAGAGGGGAGGGGCTTCCGAAGAGTCTCCAATGCTAGGGGCTGGCCCCGGGGAGGGAGAAATACGAGGACCACTACTACAGGGGTCCCCCAATAGAAAGCTAGCACGGTAACAGTGAAAAATATTATCTGCATGGAGATGTCCCTTGAAGTTAGAAGAATGAATGAGCCTGCGAGGTGGTGGAAGTGTTAGATTGCTGGAAAACCTGCTTCTAAATCAAGCCTCAGACATTTGCTGTGCTAATCTCTCCCATTTGTAAAATGGGGATAATAATAGCACCTATTTGTCAGGGTTATTTTGAGGATTAAATGAGATAATATATGTAAAATGTTTTGCAAACCTTAAAGTGCCCTGTAAATGTTATTTGGCCACTGTTGAAAGAGCAGAGTTGAAGGGCCAGAGACAGAACTTCAGGGAACGGCCACCTGAGGAGGAGAAGAGAAGCTAGTGAAGTAGTTTGAGAGCCAGGTGAACTGGGGTTTCTGACCAAGGGAAAGGAAGGGAAGACAGAGTATCCATAAGCAGGGGGATGGCCAGATTCTACAAAAAGTCATGAAGGATAAGGACTGAGAAAAAACTCATTGGATTTGGGAACACGGCAGCTGCTGATGACCTTTGAGAGAATAGTTTGAGTAGGGTGGTGGGGATGTAAGCAGGGTTGTGCTGATACATGTTTAAAAACTGGTTTTCCAAAAAATGTACTGAGGACACACTCTTAAGTTGAGTCTGCATTATTTACATTTTCTCCATCTCTCTCTGAAGTCTAGGCAATCAGCAAAACAAATACATCAAGCCCATATTTGTAGACTTTGCTGATTTCTGAGGTGTAAAGGGTCACGCTGAAAATTTAACATTCAGCTTACAGGTCCAAGCTGGGTCCAACACACCCCTGATATAAGGCAGATTGCAGAGAGGTGATGAAAGCAAAGGGGCTACACATAGACTATTTTAAAATCTTTTATGTTAAATTTTATTTTTCAAATAAAGATCCATCTTTCCTCTCACCTACCCCTTCTCCCCCCCCCCAAAGCAAGTAAAACAAAATCCTTTTTTACAAATATAGACAAAACAAATTCTCACATTGGCCATCTTTAAAAAGAAGTTATAGACTACTTTTTAAAGAAGTTGGCCATGAAGTGGAGAAGAGGGATGAGATTGAATTCAATGAACATGTATTAAACATCTACTAAGTACAAGGCATTGTGGTAGATTCTGAAGATGTAAAGAGAAAAATAAAACAGCCCTAGTGTTCAAGGAGATTGACTTCCACTGGGGATCACAGCATGTCACATGTGGAAGCTGTTTATTCCCACCTAGTTAGTCCTTTGGCAACATATCTGACATGTGGTCCTACATCCAGCCTTTTCCTGAAAGCCACCAAAGACAGGAACCCATTTCACTTTTGGAGAGCTCTAATTGGTAGGAATCCCCCCCCCCCCAGCCTTATTGCTAGTCTCAATTTGTTTCTTGCAACTTCTACCCATTGCATCTAGTTCTGCTTTCAAGGGCCAAGACAAACATCTAATCCTTCTTCCACATAACAACCCTTATATGCTAGAAAACTCATGTTCTACTGAGGATGGTTGCTAGATGAAAAAGATGGGAAGAGGGAAGGCTTTTTTAAGAACTGACTATATGGGCAGCTAGGTGGTGTAGTGGATAGAGCGCTGGCCCTGAAGTCAGGAGGACCTGAGTTCATATCCTGCCTCAGACCAAACACTTGACACTTACTAGCTGTGTGACCCTGGGCGAGTCACTTAACCCCAATTGCCTTTAAAAAAAAAGGGAAAAAAAACTGACTATGCATGACCATGTTTATAGATAATGGGAAAGGAGTCAGTGGAGAGGAAGAGACTTTGATGATACATTGGAGACAGAGGTTGATGATGCTTATAGTATGCTCCTGAAGCGGGTGAAAAGGAAAGATTAGCCTTATTAAGAACTGAGAATAACTCTTCCTCTAAGACAAGAAGAGAGGAGGAGAAAATGAGCAACATTGGATACTGATATTTTCAGGTGTGGAGATGATGGTAATAACTTATATCTATGTAGTACTTTACTATCATCTCAACAACCATGTAATGTAAGTGCTATTATTATCCCAATTTTACAGATGAAGAAACTGAGGCTCAGGGAAGCTAAGTGATTTGTCTATGGTCACAGAGCTAGTAAGTGACAAGAGGCAGAATTTGAACTCAGGTTTTTTTGACTTTTAAGATCAATAATCTATCCACTACTCTACATTGCCTCCCCACTATGTTATGTTGCTTATACCAGGTGGCCTGAATCCTCTTAGTGAAGAAGCAGGAGGCCAAGTAATTTGCTATAAGTTTTGGGAATGGAGAGAGGAAAGGGTTTGAAACAATCTGTGGGGAAAAAGATAGGGAATCAAAGGATTACTCCATAGGCAGCATTGTAGGTCCAGTAACATAATGTAGAGTGAGTGAAATTAATTTGATTTTATGACTTTCTCTAGGCATGCTCAGCTGCCTCTGATCAGGAATGGAAAACTCAGGTAGAAATTGCCCAAGGTAATGATTAGCAGGTCAAAAATGATGGAAAGAAGGGAGGGAGAAGCATTCCAGGATGGTGGCTGGTGAATCATCAGAGTTAGCAAACTGTGGCATCAAGACTGGGGATGTGGTGGTGGTGTCATACAGTAAAAAGGGAATGTGCTCTGGAGACAGAGGACCTGTGTTCAAATCCCAACTTTGATGTTACTACCTTTCGGACCTTTGAACAAGTTACTTAACTCCACGGGCCTCAGTTGCCCTATCTGTAAAATAGAATGTCCAATCCAAGGACCTCTTAGGTTTCTTCCAGCTCTAGATCAATGATCATATGATTACGTTAGATGTAATTAAAATCAGAATTCAAAGATACCATGGGAGAGTATAAAATGTTTGTGGATTAGATAAGGAAGAATCAAGGGAAAGACTAGAACTGGTGGTAAGAGTAAAGAGTAAAAGGTAGATGAAGAGTGAAACAAGGAGGTGTTGTGGTCAGAGTAAATATAATTTTTATATTCAGGATCTCGGAGATGATTCTCACGGAACCAAAGGTGTGATCATTACAGCTGGAAGAAAAGGACATAGAGGTCATCTGGTCCAACCCCGTTTATATCTGTAGAAAGTAAGGTCCAGATTGCTTAACCCACTTGCTTAAGGTCACACAGATGGCAAGAGGCAGAGCTGGCATTTGAACCCAGCAATTTTGTGACCTTAGACATTCCTCTGTCACAGAGCACTTTCTAGTTTCTCGGATGAAAGCCAAGGGTATTCTTATTAAGTTTGCTGCTGCTGTGGATAAAAGCTGGGAGGAATAGCTAACATATAGGATCTGGCCCCAGAGTTTCTAAAGAGAATGCAGAGTGTTTGTGTTTAGGAATTTGCAATGGTTTTACTGCCAGTATTCTGCCAGTGTGGCTCTTGGACTTCTAGGCAGATGAGGCCTGTGAGGGATTGGGAAACTGATGAATCAGAAGACTGGGTATCATTAAGCTGCAAGTGGGATCTCACTCATGGAAAAGGCCGGAAACCCTGTGGGACCTTTGACACATTGGCCTGCCATAGTAGAGATCACAGAAGGGACACCTCTGGCCCTTATTTACTCCAGATCTTAATTTTTTATCATTCTACCTCGCCTTACTTTCCCACTACCTTCTTCTTACATTCTACCTATGCCTAACCCTATTCTTTGTTCTCACCCTAACCCCCAATCCCTCCACTTCTCAGTATTTTCTCAGGCCGTCACCCCTGCTCTGCTTCAAATCTCTCCCTCTCTAATCTGTCCTCCACGTAGCAGCCAAAGTGATTTTTCTAAAGCATAGGTCTGACCATGTCACCCTCTCCCCACCTCCATTCAGTGAACTCCAGTGGCTCCCTGGTACCTTGAAGATCAAATATAAATTCTTCTTTTTGGCATATAAAATTCTTTGTGACCAGACCCCTTCCTATCCTTCCAGTCCTCTTCCAAAGTACTCCTGTCCGTGCGCTCTGTTATTGAATCGTACCAGCCACCTTGTCGTTCCTTCGAATTGATATTCTATATCCCCTTTGCATGCCTTTGCAATGGCTGTGCCCCATGAAATGTTCTTCTTCACCTTGGTTTCTCTGCTTCCTTTACTTTCTTCAAGACTCAGCTCAAATGTCACCATCTCTAGGAGACCTTTTCCCAGTCCTCCCAGATGCTGCTGCCTTTCCCTCTTAAAGGTTATCTGCTTGTATGTGTTTCATATATACCTATTTGTAGACATGGTGTCTCCCCATTAGAATGTAAGCTCCTTGAGGGCAGGGGCTGTTTTTGCTTTTTCTTTGTATCCTCAGCACTTAGCACAGTGCCTGGTACATAACGAGTGCTTAATAAATGCTTGTGGACTGATTGATTAATTGATAAAATCTTAGTAATGCTGTGTGGTTTCTGTTATATTCAAGAATCCAATGAAATATAGACTCCAATGGAAATAAATTACACTAAGGACAAGGGGCCAAGTACACAAGTAACTGAGGGTCAGTGATAAGACACAGAGACAATTGGAGTCATCATAT